TCTTGTGCTCGAACTCTAGCTCGGAAACACAAAAGTACTGTACGCGATTTTTTAAAAAGCTTGGGCTCGGAATTTTTAGAAGAATTTTTTACATCGGAAGAACAAATTTTTAATTTCACGTTTTCAAAGGCTTCTTCAAATTTGAGGCGAGTTTATAAAAGGCGGATTTGGTATTTTGATATTGTTTGTATCGAAGAGCATATTAATTTTTAAAAATTCATGCATCTTGTCAAATTCAAATTTTTACCAAATTATAAAATTATTAATAGAGGCAAAAAGTTTTATTTTTCCATTTGATCGTAAATCTTTCTTAAAAAGTCTAATTAAAGGGTAAGCTTAGTTTTAACTTTTTTAAAATTGACTACAGATAATTTATATATAATTTATATATATATATAGGAACGCTTATTCACAAAAATATTAAAAAAAAAATATATTCTTTACTCGAACTAACAAGTTCCAGATTGTAATTATGAGTACCAAATCGTCATACTTAAATTAAATGGAGAAAATTTGCTTGACTTAAAAAAAGGGGGCGGAATCAAATTAGATAGCTCTATTGGTTGACACGAATATCTAAGTCGTGTTATACTGTTGAATAACAAGCCTTTAATTTATTCTATTTTTTTTTATTTCGTGTGCTTGGGAGTCCCTGATTATAAAATCAACCAAGAATTGATCATGACTGCAGTTTTAGAGAGACGCGAAACCCAAAGCTTATGGGGTCGTTTCTGTAATTGGATAACTAGCACTGAAAATCGTCTTTACATTGGATGGTTTGGTGTTTTGATGATCCCGACTTTATTGACCGCAACTTCTGTATTTATTATTGCCTTCATTGCTGCTCCACCAGTAGATATTGATGGTATTCGTGAACCTGTTTCTGGATCTCTGCTTTACGGAAACAATATTATTTCAGGTGCCATTATTCCAACTTCTGCAGCTATAGGATTACATTTTTACCCAATATGGGAAGCGGCATCCATTGATGAATGGTTATATAATGGGGGTCCTTATGAACTAATTGTTCTACACTTCTTACTTGGTGTAGCTTCTTATATGGGGCGTGAGTGGGAACTTAGTTTTCGTCTGGGTATGCGCCCTTGGATTGCGGTTGCATACTCCGCTCCGGTTGCAGCTGCTACCGCAGTTTTCTTAATCTATCCAATTGGTCAGGGAAGTTTTTCTGATGGTATGCCCCTAGGAATCTCTGGGACTTTCAATTTCATGATTGTATTTCAGGCTGAGCACAATATTCTTATGCACCCATTTCATATGTTAGGCGTAGCTGGTGTATTTGGCGGTTCCCTATTCAGTGCTATGCATGGTTCCTTGGTAACTTCTAGTTTGATCAGGGAAACCACAGAAAATGAATCGGCTAATGAAGGTTACCGATTCGGCCAAGAGGAAGAAACGTATAATATAGTAGCCGCTCATGGTTATTTTGGACGATTAATTTTCCAATATGCTAGTTTCAATAATTCTCGTTCATTACACTTCTTTTTAGCTGCTTGGCCTGTAGTAGGTATTTGGTTCACTGCTTTAGGTATCAGCACTATGGCATTCAATCTAAATGGTTTCAATTTTAATCAATCCGTAGTTGATAGCCAGGGCCGGGTAATTAATACTTGGGCTGATATAATTAATCGTGCTAACCTTGGTATGGAAGTTATGCATGAACGTAATGCTCACAATTTCCCTCTAGACCTAGCTGCTATCCAAGTTATAGCTACAAATGGCTAGAGACTTCGTCTCTTAGTATATAGATAGAGAATCTATTTAAAATAGAATAAAGGAGCAATTCCGCCTTCTTGTCTAGAACAAGAAATCGGTTATTGCTCCTTTATTGATTCCTTTTTGAAAATAACATAGTTTAGTCGGGGGCGGATGTAGCCAAGTGGATTAAGGCGGTGGATTGTGAATCCACTATGCGCGGGTTCAATTCCCGTCGTTCGCCCATCACTCGAATTATCGTTTCGATAAATTCTATAAATGGGTGAAATATATGAGTGAAAGTAAATAACATGCCGCTATGGTGAAATTGGTAGACACGCTGCTCTTAGGAAGCAGTGCTAGCGCATCTCGGTTCGAGTCCGAGTAGCGGCATAAAAAATAAGAGTAATCTTTTGTTCTTTTTCATTTTTTTCTTATCTAATTCGGAGTTAAAATCTTATTTTTTTTTTATTTTTATGATAGTTTCAACCTTAGAACATATACTAACTAATATTTCACTTTCAATAATACTCGTTTCTATTTTAATTAAAATTTATTTGAAAATCTTTTTTGTAGATGAAAACATAAAACTTTCTAATTCATCAGAAAAGTGCATTTTCATAACTTTTTTATGTATAACAGGATTATTAGCTACTCATTGGATTTCGTCGGGCCATTTCCCACTAAGTGATTTATCGGAATCTTTGCTTTTTCTTTCCTGGAGTTTTGCTCTTATTAATAGCCTTTCCTATTTAAAAAAAAATACAAAATTATTAAGTACAATAATAAGCCCAATCAATTTTTGTATCCAGGCTTTTGCTACTTCGGGTCTTTTCACAGAAATTAAAAAATCTTCAATATTAGTCCCCGCTCTTCAATCTGAGTGGTTAATAATGCACGTAAGTATGATGATAGTGGGTTACGCAGCTCTTATATGTGGCTCCTTATTATCAGTAGCACTTATGGTCATTACCTTTAGAAAAAATGAAAATATTTTTAAAATGAATTATATTTTTTCGGCTAAAAATTTTTATAAGATTCAATTAAGTAAAGAATTGGATTATTGGAGTTATCGAGTTATTAGTTTAGGGTTTATCTTTTTAACCATAGGAATACTTTCGGGGGCTTTGTGGGCGAACCAAGCGTGGGGATCTTATTGGAGTTGGGATCCTAAAGAGACTTGGGCTTTTATTACTTGGATAGTGTTTTCAATTTATCTACATACTCGAAGAAATAGAACTTTCGAAGGTGCTACTTCGGCAATTGTGGCATCTATAGGTTTTCTTCTTATTTGGATATGTTATTTTGGAGTCAATTTAATTGGATTAGGTCTACATACTTATGGTTCATTTTCGCGAACATAAAAAAAGACATTAATTTTTTACTTCGTGAAAAGCTAAAAATTTGTGAAACCCGTGCTCTCAAATAAAAATATTTCCTATTTGAGAGCACGGGTGTTCAATAAAAATAGAATGAATTCAAATATACTTTTCTGGACCAGATCAATAAGCGAGACCCATACTGCGAGTTGTTTCATGCCATAAATAAACTCGAACACTCAAGAAATCTGTTGGGCAGGCGGATTCACATCTTTTACAGCCTACACAGTCTTCTGTTCTCGGAGCAGAAGCAATTTGTTTAGCCTTACATCCGTCCCATGGTATCATTTCTAAAACATCGGTGGGGCAGGCTCGGACACATTGAGTACATCCTATACATGTATCATAAATCTTTACAGAATGTGCCATTGGACGAATAAATTTATAAACTTTATGAATTATCGATATAGTATCCTCCAAATATTATTTTTATCCAATATAAAATTATAAGATACTTGGTTTTTAGATACTATATGACTCAATGAATTCTCAGAAGGATTCTAATCAATAGATTTCTGGATTGGTTTTGAAAATAAAAAAAAATTATTTTATGTTTTAATATTATCATTTTTTTATAACTACGCAAACTACCTACAAACTACCTAATAGGGTAAATAAGGATTCTTTTTTTAATTAACTCAATCTATTGTTTTAAAGTTTTAAATAAATACTCCCTTCAAATTTATACAGTAAGAATCAATAGACAAAAGGACATGATGTCTTTCTATTCACTACCCCAAGCTATTCTTTTTTAATTGTTTCAGTAACCATATTGTTGTTCTAAATTTACCTCTATAATAGGTTTGAAAAGCTATGCAACTTCAAAATGAATGAGTTTTTGTCTCTCTAATCTCCAATTTATCAATTAATTCTTTATAGCGGAATTTATTTTTTTTTTGATAAATAAGCTAAAAGTCGTTGTCGTTTCCCCAAAATTTTACGTAAACCTTTTTGAGATAAATAGTCTTTTTTGTGCAATTTCAAGTGGGAAGTAAGCCGGTGTATTCTATTGGTGAAATTCCATACTTGAAATTCAACGGAACCTCTGTTTTGTAAGTTTTTTATCATAAACTAAATGAAACTCCCTTCATTGATATATAATATGCATTTAAAATAATTTTTTATAATTAAGTTCTAGATTCATTTCATAGATATGAAATAATTGATTAGTAACTAAAACGAACGAACAAAAAATAAAGAAAAAAAGGATAATATTATTTACTTTTATTCTATATTATAGAATAAATCAACTTGACAGAAATGAGTCCAATGTTTTCTTATTTTTTTTGTAAAAAAAAACTTTGAAACTTACCCGTTAAAAGAGATTTTGCTAATGAAAGAGCTTTTTAATCTTACCTCAATAGTCTTTCTTTTCCAAATGTTCTTACGAATACGCTTTTTGGCTTTCGAAATACGTTTTTTTGGAACTGCCATTTCAAATGATTTACAGGTTATCACTGGATGTGAAAGACATTTATTGCTAAAAAGGAATTCTTCTAACTAAGTCTATCAATTCAAATCAAAAGAAAACCCTTTCTTTTAGGGTTCATTAATAAAATCAAAGTGAATTTTTTCAACTTAATATTCTTTTAATGAGGTACAATATATCTATATAGATCTAGATAGATATATGGTATCCTCAATTCAGTTAGATCCAAATTAAAATGAGGTATAAAATAGGGTATGTGTCCATATTGGTTTTCATCTAACCTGCTACCATCTACCCTGCTACAGGGTAGATAGTACTACTATCAATTAAATTTCCACCAATTTAAATTCAATGGTAAATACATATGGATCCTTAACATACTGAAACGACTCCCATTATTAGTATAAAACCAATAACGATTCATACAAGCTAAATCTTCCAATCGATAATTAGGCCAAAGAAAAAATTCAATTAATTTATTTTGATCCTTAGGCCCAGGGTTGCTTTCTTCCCAAACTTTATTTTTGTTGGAAACTAGAGAATTTGCATCCACGCCATTCCATTTGTGTGAATTGAAACAAATTAGAGTTCTTAATTCTCTACGACGCCTAGATGATAAAATATTTTCAATAAGAAGCGGATCACAATTATTGTTCTCTCGAGCGCGAATTATTCTTTGTTTTACGTCTTCTTTATTAAGAATTTGTTTACTCTTATGAACCAACGAAATAACTATCGTTTCATACATAAGAAATTCTCCATTTGGTTTGATAGACAGCGGAAGGGGGTCGACCAAAAATCCCGTCTTTTTTAAAAATTCTGGAACACTCTCTTTTGAATCTGGAACACTCTCTTTTGAATCTGGAACATTTCTTTTTGAATCTGGAACACTCTCTTTCTGATCCATCTGTGGCATTAGACCCAAATTTAACTTTTCCCTTAGAATCCATGATAGCATCATTTTTTTTCGATTTATCATTCTAAGCAAGAGACAATAGATTTGGAGATCTTGGAAAAGGCCTTGATTTAAAGTAAAATCCTCTCTAAATTGAAAAAATAAATAGTTTTTCATGAATAACTCTAGTTCTATCTCAGTTTTGACTTTTCTTTTCACCTTCAGTTTCACCTTCAGTTTCGCCTTTGGTTTCACCTTCAGGTTTACCTTTGGTTTCACCTTCAGGTTTACCTTTGGTTTCACCTTCAGGTTTACCTTTGGTTTCACACCCTGAGTTTCACCTTTGGTTTGACCCTCAGGTTCACTTTTGGTTTGACCCTCGGCTTTATCTTTTTTTTTACTCTCAGTTTTATCTTTTTTATCTTTCTGAGTTTTACCGGTCTTTTGACTTGTCATTTCATTAAGATTCAAATTTGAAATAAGTGATTCGCTTGGTATAATCCATGGTTTCAGTTTATATAAATTAACAAACCACACAAATTCTGGGAAAACCAAAAGTTCCTCAGCCGTTAATGGACGGTCGAGTATTTCTTCATTCAGTCCCATCCAATCCAATAAAGAATTTCTAGAATGGAGTCGATTCATTTCGGTATTTTTCTGAATCAAAAGAGCAAAAGGATCTTTTTCGTTTTTAAAAATTTGCTCAATTTTCAAAATTTCTTCCATTTTATCAATTAATTGATAATTGTAAGTGAAAATTGGAGTATTTTGAGTATTGTTATAATTACCCGTGATCCAGGACTCAATATTCGCTTTTTTTTTAAGAGAAAAATCAATATTTTTTCCAATTCAAATATTTTCTATCGACATCTTTTTTTGGATATGGAATATTTAACCTTTCTATTTTTCCTCTGAAACTAGTGATAGGAATATTTTTCGTTATCGCAAACAAGTTGTTTTGTGACATCTTGTAATGATAAGAAATTGCTTCCCGTTTAGCTCCTGGAGGGGTTCCACTATTTTTTTCATACTGAATGTATTGATATGCTAAAAGATCATATCGATAGCATTTTTTTAAAATTATCTTTTGTTTTTTTATTCAAGACTGAGTTAGCATCCTTTTGTTTTCCTGTAAGTATTTAATTTTAATTTTTTACCGGAAGTCCTTTTGTCTAAATATTTTTGTTTAGACCTACGATAGCGATTCGCCCTATTTCTCCATTTTTGTTTTTGTGATCTTAAGGCAGACCAGAAATTAGGAGATAAATCGTAGTGAGAATTCCCTTTTAACCAAAATTTCCATTGACTCGTTCTAGGCCGCTTAAGTTGTTTTTTTATTCCTTCAGATGGAAGTATTCCTTGTGTATGAAATGAGTCTTTTATTTTCTTTTTAATCAAGAAAGATGTTCCATTTTGTTGAAGAACAGATATGAAATTACGTACGTTCAAAAAACCCCCTTTCTGATATTTTGTACAATACATATGCTTGTGACAAGTTGGATAAATCACCAAAACTCTCTGAATTTTCCTTATAAAGCTTATTATTATGCGTTTTTATATTTGAATTTGAAAGAGAGTTCATTTTTGTTGATTCCACAAAGACTTTTTGAGTCATTTGGCAAATAGATATAGTATATAAAAAAATACAATTAGATATTCTTTGAATAAATAATTTTATAAAATAATTAAATTTATATATTAATCTATTTTTTTTTTTTTTTCAACATTTGACAAAAATTTTTTGACAAGGCTAATCTCGAACTTTTTTTGTAAGGGTTCATATCAAGTTCTAGAGTGACCCTTTTCTTATCTTCCGTAATTCTTTCTAGTTTTTTTTTAATTGTACTTGTCCTATGAGTGATAGCCTGCATTTTGTCTATCGGTGAATAATTTTTCCAATCTGTAATTTTTTCAATTTTACTCAAGGGTTGATTCATTATCTGGTTATTTATTAGATCATCTTTTTCATTTTTTATTACACTCGGGTGTATTGTTCTTGTTTCTTTTGAACTTGTGTTTTTTTTTGAAAACTTTTTTAAAAATTTAATTTTTACTTTTACAAATTTGTAAAGTTCCTTAAAAACAGGCTTAAAAAACGAAGGTTTTTGTCGTGGATGACCAAAAGGGTGTTCTGTTTCCCTTCCCCAAACTGTTAAAAAACAAAAGTCATCACGAGAATTTAGCGATTTATATTCGTGCCAAGGTTTGAGACAGAAAAATAAAATTTTGATTTGAATACCTTCTGTCAACCAATTTTCCGGAAATTTTTTGTCAGCTAACGGAATACCATTATAAGTACACTTCACATGCGTTTCTCTATTCCATCCCTTTAAATCTTCAGACCATTCAGGAGTTTGAAATAGTAGCATACGCCCGATATTTTTACCGATTATGAATGAAGGTAATAGAATCTTTTTTCTGAGAATTGATTGGGTTATTAATAAAAAACCTCTTATTATTTGGGTATATGGAAAAGTCTCCCAGGCTTCCCCTATCTCTAACCGTTCTATTTCCTCTCGTCGTTTTTTTTTCCTTTTTGGTTTCTCTTTTTATTATTATTTTTTTTTCCTCTGTAGATTCTAAAATCCCAAACTCTTTTATGGATGACCATTTTCTAAAAAGCCGTTTCAGTTGAGCCAGGTATGGTAGAGAAAAAAAGGTTTTTTTCCTCATCCTGTCAAAAAAAAGAGGGGAATGCGCATTTTGCTTTAAAAAGTCCCTCAATAACTATTTTACGTCTTTGAGTTCGCATAGAGTCTTTTATTAAGCCTTGGCGAAAATCAGATTGGTGCGGATATCGTAATAAAAAAAGCTTATTATCCTCATCTTCCTTTTTCTTTTTAATATTTTTATCTTTCTCATTATCGTCGGATTTTATAGCTTGAATATTTGTATCTTTTGTATTCTTATCTTTGTTTGTAGTCTTATCTTTGAGAGTCTTAGGTTCTTCAAAAATTAATACACTGATCCCTTTTCTTGAACGAATATCATGATCATCTGGTGGATTTGTAAAATACGATATTTGTTCCAATTCAGTTATTAATTTGTATGACCATCGGGGGACTTTTTTACCAATTTCTTCTTTACCTATTTTTTCTATTGCAGAAGATTTTTTATCGTCTGTCTCAATTGCATTTACTAAAAATTTTGTTAGTTGTTCTGAATCCGTTAAATTGAAACTTGATGATAAAGTTGAGAACTCACCAACTTGTAATGGTTTTTTTTTCCTTTTTTTCAAAAGTAGACATCAACAATAAAGCATGAAGTCTATTTAGCATAACCTTCTCTCTCAACTTTTTGATCGAAGTATCGTTTATCGACGTGATATCTTTTTTTATTCTTCCGCGGGAAGGCCCATTTAACAAGGGATCATACTTTTCTGGTAAGTATTCTTTTCTAGTCTCATCATTGTGTATACATAATCGCGTTTTGTTTGTTTCAATTTCGATTATTGGAACTGCTACTGGTTTGTCAAGATTTTTAATTCGATTTAGCAAATCAATTTTTATAGAATTTAATTTTTGTTTGTTTCTAGAAACCCAAAAATTGTCCAATGTATTAGAAATATCTTTTTCTAGTGACAAAAGGGGTATCTTTGTTTTGATTATTTGAAAAAACGTTGATAAACTTATCGGATGGGGTAAAAGATATTCTATCTTTTCCATCACTTTTATGTATGTCAAAGAAATATTGTGCCATTTCGTTTCTTACAGCTTGTTCAAGTCTATTATTTTTTATGTAACGAAATGGGCGAGTCCATCTTTTATAATCAAAAAGAAGAGCCACAATATGTTCTTTATTTTCATTTTTTTTCAAGGATTTCCAATTCGGAATCAGACCCTTCCAAGTCTGGTTCATTTACCTTCAAGTCCAATTCTTTTTCCAAAATACCTTTTTCTTCGGAAAAAAGGGAAGGATCTTTTTCAGCGGATTTCTTTTTTTTTTCTACGTCTTTTTCTTCCTCCCTTTGCAACCTTTCCTTTTCCCTTTGTTCTATTTTTGAGACCTCACTAAATTTCTGAGTAGGAATAGGTAAGGGTGTTCTGCCTAAAGACTGAATACTTAGAATACATACTAGAGTTCCAAAACTATAATTTACTAAAATAAAAAATATAGAATTTCTCACTAGGTACTTTCGAATGATCGACCTAATAACATTATTTTTCTGTATCCAGACTGCTAAAAATTCCAAGCAATTTATGACTAAAATTTGTCCCATTCCCCAAGCAAACAAACTGCTTGTTACAAACAACATCTTATTATTACAGCGAAACAGATAAATGCTTACTAATCGGGCTAACGTTGAACTTGGTAAAATGCAAGTGTTAAGCAACTGAAAAATAAGATGATTGAGGAATACAAAGATATTCTCTAGCTCACGGATCGAATTTTGCATAAGCAAAAATTTTTTTTTCAGTGTTCAAGAAAAGCTGAATCAAAAGATAAGGTAAAGCAAGGACAGTTATTGTATGAGGTCTACCCAAAGCTAGATAAAAGGGCGCATAATAGATGGATACGAATCTCATGAGCTGTCCCATAATAAAACCAGTGGTTGCTGCTACCTTATTATTTGTATTTGTTTCTTTTTCCAGAACCAGAGTTCGCACAAAGAATAAATAAGAGGACCTTATTGAAAATGTGGTAAGAAATCCATAATAAAGTCCGACTACAACGACTGAATTGAGTACCTTCAAGAATAAATCAGAACCTATAAACATAAAAAGCTCCTTAATTAAAATAAAAATTTTTTTGATATTATCAAACAATAAACTAGTAGATTTGTCTTCACATCTTATACTATGATTTTTTTACTATTCTACTATATGGAATTCAAAATAGGTTTTATATGAAATGAAGTTTATTGGACTTTTCTTATTTATAGAATTTATCGAAACGAAACAGCAATTCGGGTTATGGGTGAACGACGGGAATTAACCCCGTCTATAGTGGTCTTGCATTGAGAACAGGAATTTAACTCGATTCATTTGAATCTCCTTTTCTTCCTCAATAGCTCAGTGGTAGAGCGGTCGGCTGTTAACCGACTGGTCGTAGGTTCGAATCCTACTTGGGGAGTGATTCTAAATAACAGAAGTTCGAATCAGGATAAGATGGCTCGCGTTTAGCATAAAGAGTAACCTTACCCACCCGCATCAAATTGGGTTCATTATCCCAATCATTATTGTCCTACCCACAGAGGAAAAAGTATTTAACTTTTGGACCAGTTGTGGGCGAGGAGGGATTCGAACCCACGACCCCGTGGTTCGTAGCCACGTGCTCTAATCCTCTGAGCTACAGGCCCACCCCGCCTCCGCAAAAAAGGAACATCCCTCCCATTTCAGATGTGAAAGCGCGTTT